TATCGTTGGGCTGATTCCGAACCCGTACAGAACCTCAGCCACGCTCTTCAAGGCAGCTGAGATGCGCACGCAGAGATGGGAAAAGAGGTGGAGGAGGAGGAGAAGGAGGGGAGGAGAGGAGATGCCAAGGGGGGGATGCAGGGGGAGGAGATGCAGGGGAGGAGATGCAGGGGGGGGGATGCAGGGTGGGGGAAGGAAAGGAGCACGAGAGGGGGAGGGAAGAGTGGCAGTTTGGCAATGAATTAGGTGGAGAAAACGGGGGCATAACGAGAGTCTCGCCGGAAAAGGAGAAGTTGAGAAGAGAGTGGAACGAAAATCCGACAGGGAAACAAAGAAAGGGAGTGTCCCACCACCGCCTGTGTACCACATGTTCAGATAGGAGGGACAGCATAAGCGACAGCCCCACCATCGCCTATGCACCCCATGCTCTCACCATCGCTTATGTACCCCATGCAAAGAGAGGAGGGACAGCACAAGCGAAAGCCCCGCCTCTGCCTATGTACCACATATTCTCCTCCACCACTTGCACGGTGCAGGTTGAAGGAACGACAAGAGCAGAGCAGAGCAGGGCAGAGCAGAGAGGAGAACGAGAAAGAGGGTGCCTCACCATCGCCTATGGTGAGGCAGCCTCTTTCTCGCCTATGGTGCCACATATTCTCACCATCTTTCTCACCATCGCCTATGTACGAGAAAGAGGGTGCCACATCGAGAAAAGGGGTGCCTCACCATCGCCTATGTACCACATATTCTCCTTCACCACTTGCACCGTGCCCTCTAGCGATATGGCGCTCGCACCCAGAGCATCTGAGACAGAGAGGGCGACAGAGAGGGAGACAGAGAGGGAGACAGAGAGGGAGACAGAGAGGGAGACAGAGAGGGAGACAGAGAGGGAGACAGAGAGGTCGAAAGAGTGGGAGACAGAGCGTGATAGGCAGATGGTAAGTGTGCACACACAGCAGTAGGATTGAAATATCGAAATTCGTCAAATTGGACACTGACAATGGAAGCCATAACGAGGGACGGAAGGAGAGGAGAAGTATTGAAATTATCTTGGGAATGTCTTCCAGTCTCAGTGGAATCTGAGGCGCCAGGCTATCCCTTCCTGTGAATGGGAATCTCCAGGGGGCTGAGCGATGGTACCTTGGTCGTCAGCAGGGGGCTCGTTGGAGTAGATATCAGGGTACTTGGTCGCAGGAGGCTCGCTGGAGTAAGGATCCGCGTATTTCTCCTTCCAATCCGAGGTCTCCCCTGCAGCCGCTGCGGACCCTGCTCCGTACTTGGGCTGGAGTGGAGAGAAGCAAATCATGGAAGGGAAGAGAAGCTGATGGACGAGAGGGCAGAAGCGATCTGCGAGGGGCGTCAGAGAGGTATGCATTCTAAAGAACGAGAATAGTGGAGGCTCGGCCGCGTACTTGTCCTCCCAATCCGAGGTCTCCCTGCAGCCGCTGCTGACCCTGCTCGGTACTTGGGCTGAAGAGACGCAGATGGACGAGAAGAGACGCAGATGGACGAGAAGAGACGCAGATGAAAGAGAAGGATTGCAGAAGCGATAGCGTCTTGACACTGACGTCACGTACACGATGCTGACGTCACGCACACCATATTGACGTCTTGACACTGACGTCATGTGCAAAACGATTTTTGACAAATGAACGTGCACTGGAGGACGGAAAAGCACGTGACATGTGCCGAAAAGGTATGTCCTTCAACATGTGAGCAGCGAAGCATGAAATGACACATTCGTCGCAATTATTGCACTTACGTCACCGTCGAGTGACATTATGATGTCCCCTTCAACCAAGACTGTCCTCTGAATGTAAGCGAACGAAGCACCGCCGAACGAAGCGCCCGCTTGAACTATCTGTTCACTCGCTCTGCGCTATTTGCTGAACGCCCTAGTTACTCGAAAATGACCTAAAATGAATTAAAACAAACGGTTTTGTCTGTTTGCTGACAACTGCCGCAATGCTCAGATTTCCTGAAATAACTGATACACTACCCTTCTTAACTAGCCTCGCCTTGCCATACATCAGTTGAAAAAACAGAGCTAAGCATTTAGGAGATATTGAGTCATAATAATGCTCGAGTGAAAGGTGCAAATGTCAGAAACTGCTCATTCACAGTGCGCACGTGCAAAAGCAGCTGTCTCTAAGCTCGATAGCTTGGTGTTCCAACGCGGAACCTAGCCTTTCCTCGGAGCGCCGTGATTTGCGGGGTATAGTCGAGATGTTGAAGATTGACTTTCATAGAATCGCCTTACTTTACAGGAAGTGGTGCTGCACCAGAAAGTCGGAAATTGGAGGAAAATCCCTGAACTGGAGTTGAAATCCCGGGGGAAGGAAATCCCCGTGCGTGGTTGGTTGGGCTGCTGAAAGTAGGAACTTGAAACCTATAAGTGGTGCCTCGGGATCTCCGCTGCGCCAGCCGTGGGGTTCTCCGGCGCACGAGCGATGGGTGGGGGGGGGAGGGGGGTGGGGTGGGGGGGGAACCCCGCAGTGCAACGCGCGGACATCTCTCATTCGGGCAAATATTTTGACTTTTGTGTTTTACCCCCTTTTTTTTCCTTGTTCCATCATGTTTGGGTTTCCGCGTGAACTTTGCAGCGAAAATATCCATGATGTGGGCCATTCTGCCAAGCAGAAGAATGGGGAGGGGAAGGTTGCCATTTTTTCGAGGGAAGTTGTGCTGAAACTTGTGAGGTTAGCCGATGAACCGCGCCGCTATACGATGCTTCGTTAGCGTAAACACGCCTTTTCTGTTGGGATATCTTTTTCTTGACCCATACGAAATCGCGGCAATACCCACATCCCAAGGATTGACAAGCGCGATCGCCCTTGGCGGAAGCAGATTGGTTGGACTTGGACCCTGTCGGCGGGAATGAAGCTGAATGGATGAAGGCCAACTTGGGACCCCCGAGCCGACCTGGCATGCCATCCATCCGCGCATTTCACAAGCGAAAATGCTGACGAATCTGTCAAAAAGAGCGCGTTTCTACAAGGGACAAATATCAAACATCAGTTGGGGAAATAATAGAGAGTTTGAGCTCAAGCCTGGTTTTTACACAACGAGCGAATGGTTATTGATCGAGATTCTTCTCCATCTAAAGAGGGTCTTTTTCCGAGGCTCTTTTTCATTTGGCCTGGAAATCCCGTGCTTGGGACGCAGGCTTGACTGGGACCGCTTCTCAACCATCCCAACCAGCTGAATCCCACTATAAATACCGGCCGGTTTTCCCTCATTCAATCACCAGCTTCCCATTTCCCACTTTCAGAATCAGCCTCCTTCCGCATGGCTTGGGCCCAGCGACTCTCCTCTCCTCAAGGGCTCTCCCCTCCCTTCAACTCAATTTCTCTTAGCCCAGCCCCCCTTCCAGACTTCGCCGCTGGAACAATTCCCAGCAATGTTCAAGCGCCCTTGCTTGACCAGCACCAACACTCGCGCTCCGGCTCCAGATTAGGGTTTGCGCGACGACCAAGAGCACGCACGTGTGAATATTTGAAACTCGGATGGAAGCAAGGATGAGCGCAGCGCTCTGCTGACATACCTAATTTTGACACCGAAACCCTAATTCCTGCAGCACAGTCATGCCGATCGGAGCAGCTGTCGCTGTTGAGCCTCGCGGCTCGGTAGGCGGATCCCGCGGAGATTCCCATGCGCACGCGCACGCGCACGTCCACGTGCCGCGCGCCGATTCGCGGCTGCTGAGCCACGTGCCCTTCGAAGCGACAGATGACCTGGACCTGGCCCTGCAATCGCTCCACGCGCGTATCAAGCCGCTCCTTGCGTCGGATAGCGAAGGCGAAGTGCACAGTCAGCTGCAGGAAATGGTCTCGGAAGGCGCGCAGCAGCACGCTGACGTGGTCAACGGCCTCCTCTACGCAATCCTCACCGTGTCGCACCAACCAGGTTCGCCGCCTTCGCCGCCGTCGCACGCGTCGACGGCCGCGGCGGTGCGGCTGTTCGGGATCCTGTGCTCCGTGACGCGCGACCACCACGCGTCGCTTCTAGTGACCCTGCAGCGATTAACGACGGAGAAGTGGGGCAAGCTCCAGGAGCACGTGCGCGCGCAGATTATCTGGGTCCTCCGACAGTTAGTTCATCTAGCCGTTCAGGAAGCAGAGGCGCTTTTTCTCTGCCTCTTCCGTCAGGTTTCCGGCGGCGATCTTAGCGTCGGGAACGTGTGGCTAGCTCGGCAGTTACTCGACGTCCTTCGCGCCAACACGCAGTGGCTGTACACTCTCCCGAATCTCCTCGCCCTCTCGCTTTACACGTTCCTTAGGCTTCTCCCAGACCACGCGGCTAGTAAGGCTCCGACCGTCGTAGAGCTGAAGCAGCAGGAGATCGCGTTTTGCACACAGACGCTTAGAGAGCGATTTCAGGACTGCTTAGTGATTGGTCGCGACTTAGTGCGACTGCTGCAGGATGTAGCGTTGATTCCGGAATTCGAGCCGATTTGGCGGGATTTGGTGCATAGTCCCGAGTCGATGGGCGCGCCTGGGTTTTCCGATTTAGCTCAGCTGTACGTCTTGCGAACGCCCACGCGTTTCATCACGTCCCGAGTGACGCCCGAAATGGAGTCGCAGCTTCGCTTTCTTCTCGCACACGTTCGCATGGGCCACCAGCGGCGTTACCAGACGTGGTTTGCCACCCGGTTTCTCGCCGCCCCCGAGAGCGAATCCCTCGTGGCGGATTTGGTTCGCTTCGTCTGCTGCTCGGTGCATCCGACGAATCAGGTCCTGCAATCTGACGTGGTGCCACGCTGGGCGATCGTCGGCTGGCTTCTCAAATGCTGCAGAAGCTGCCACATGGAGGCGAATGCCAAGCTGGCGCTCTTCTACGATTGGCTCTTTTTCATGCCAAAGACTGACAACATCATGAACATCGAACCCGCGATACTGTGCATGGTCCATTCCCTTCCCAAATACGCCATTATGACCAACTCCCTCCTAGAATTTCTCTTCCTCCTCCTAGACCACTATGACGCGGCGCATAGGGACCTCGTCCTCCGCGGAATATCCGCCTCGATCGATATTTTGGTCGGCAAGGGAGTCGTTCCAAGTCTCGAGCCGCTAGCCACGAGCGGGTTCATTCCTACGAAGCTTCGCGAGCGTCTCCAGGCGCTTTTTCCCGCGCATTGCCGGCTCGACGCATCCCCTCACCGCTTCTACCCGCCCTCGCCCCTGCATGATCCTCACAACGCGGAACGAGCTGGGGCGGCGGCAATTCCCGGGATAGGGGGAGGGGGGAGAGGGGGGCAAGCGCGGGGGGCGGGAGTTTGGTGAAGTCCCCAAGCCCTTCTCCGCCGCATTTGGCAGCGGAGCGGGACAGCATGGGGAATATCGTTGGCAGCGGAGCGGGGATAAGGGCGGCGGAGGAGCAACGGGGATTAGGGGGGCGGGAAATGCAGGTGGCGGAAATCGGAGGAGTAGGCGCGGGTGCTGGCGCAAGCGGTTCTGTGGGCGATTCTGCTGCCGCCGCCGCGGGGGGGGGCGCGGTTGGCTTAAATGGCTCGGTTGCTGCCGCGAGGACGGGGGAAGACGTGGAAATGGGGGAAGCTAGCGCTTCAGGGGAAGACCAGGCTGGCGGAAAAGGTTCTGGCGGAGTGGGGAAACGGGGGAAGACCGCGGAGGGCGAAGGTATGGAACCAGGAGAGTGCGGCGGAGGGGATAGTGAGGTGGCGGGAGGAGAGATTGGTAAGGGGGAGCGGAAGAGGAAAAGGAAGAGGGAGGAGGGGGAGGATGACGGGGGGAAGGGATCGGCGCTTGAGGAAAGAGAGGAGGGAGGGGAGGTGGAACGAGGGGAGGTGGAGGGGGGGGAGGTGGATGGGGGGGAGGCGGAGGGGGGGAGGTGGAGGGGGGGAAGGTGGTTGAGGAGGAAGAGAAGAAGGAGCAGAGCGAGGAAAGGGAGGGCGTAGACGAGGAAGTTAAAGCCATTGAGGGTATGGTAAAGGGTATGGAAGAAGCGGTGGAGGCTGGGGAGGGGGCGAAGGTCATTAGAGGGCTAAAGGCGTTGTTGATGGCGTTAAGAGGAGAGAACGCGGGGAGAGAGGGTGGGGGGCGGAAGGCGCAGGGGGGCGGTGAAAGGCAGGCGCACGTGAACGCACAGCGGAAGGCTCAGGGGCAAGAGGAAGCCGGGGAGGAGGGGGGAAAACAGGGCAAGAGGGGCAGTGGGGGGATGGGTGGGATGGGGGGGATGGGGGGAAGGGCGAAAGAGGGGCGACCCATGGTTGAGGAGGAGCAGGATGAAGAAGAGGCGGGGATGGATGAGGATCGATCAGACAGGAGCGCTGACTCGGATGTGACTGCAGAAAGAGGGGCTACAGAGGGGGAGACAGCAACGGACGTGGCAATAGAGGGGAACCATCTATGCGGGGAAGGCAGGAAAGAGGCGGGAGCAGCAGCAGCAGCGGCAGCAGCAGAAGCAGCAGCAGGAACAGCAGCCGGGGGAGGAGCCGACGGAGCAGCAGAAGTGGTCAAGAACGACAGCAGCAGCAGCAGCAGCAACCGGCGGGGAGTCAAGGGAGTTAGGTCGAAGAGAGCACGCATAGCGGCGCCCCCAGATAAAGCAGCAGGCGTACCAACAGCCATAGCAACAGGCTCACCTACAGGATCAGCGGCAGAACCTGTAGGTGAACCTGTAGATCAACAGGATCACCTGCCCGCAGCATCACCAGCGGCAAATTCGCCCCCTTTAGGCCGTAGTTCAGAGGGATTGAATAGCGGCAATGGCACGCTAGACATTGCAGTAGCAGGAGATAGGCTAGCGACCGCTTTCACAGCAAATCTAGTAAAGGCTTCCGAAGCTGCCCGCTTAGTCAGACCAGGCAAATTTAGGTCTCCTGGGTTCAGGGCACGGGGAGTTGGTAGGAAGGGTGGGCGCTGATTGCCGATAGGGTTTCGCAGAGCCTCTCGAAAGTAGGGCTTCCTCTATTTCCGCCCTTCGCCTCCCTGTCTCCTCGTAGGTTGGACCAGCTGCTGCTGCTGCTGCCTCGATCTCCGGCCACCTTGGGATCTCCAGAAGGTACTCCTAGGGACGGTGGTACTGAGGGGGACGGTGCTTCTGGGAATGGTGCTTCTGGGAACGGTGCATCTGCTGGTGCAGCTGTTGTGAAGGTGGGGATCGGAACGTCATGCCCGTTTGAAGGCGCCGCGTTATCAAGCTGGACCTCGACGCTGATGGTTCTGTACGAGTATGTCTTGCAGAGTGAGCGGCTGCGGGAATGGAGGGTGGATGGTGGGGGGGATGGAGAGGAACACGGGAGGGAGCAGAGAGGAGAGGAGGATGTAAAGGGCGTTTCGGGAGGCGAAAAGGGCCAGGGGGGCGAAAAGGGCCAGGGGGGCGAAAAGGGCCAGGGGGCGAAAAGGGCCAGGGGGGCGAAAAGGGCCAGGGGGGCGAAAAGGGCCAGGGGGGCGAAAAGGGCCAGGGGGGCGAAAAGGGCCAGGGGGGCGAAAAGGGCCAGGGGGGCGAAAAGGGCCAGGGGGGCGAAAAGGGCCAGGGGGGCGAAAAGGGCCAGGGGGCGAAAAGGGCCAGGGGGCGAAAAGGGCCAGGGGGGCGAAAAGGGCCAGGGGGGCGAAAAGGGCCAGGGGGGGCGAAAAGGGCCAGGGGGGCGAAAAGGGCCAGGGGGGCGAAAAGGGCCAGGGGGGCGAAAAGGGCCAGGGGGGCGAAAAGGGCCAGGGGGGCGAAAAGGGCCAGGGGGGCGAAAAGGGCCAGGGGGGCGAAAAGGGCCAGGGGGGCGAAAAGGGCCAGGGGGCGAAAAGGGCCAGGGGGGCGAAAAGGGCCAGGGGGGCGAAAAGGGCCAGGGGGGCGAAAAGGGCCAGGGGGGCGAAAAGGGCCAGGGGGGGCGAAAAGGGCCAGGGGGGCGAAAAGGGCCAGGGGGGCGAAAAGGGCCAGGGGGGCGAAAAGGGCCAGGGGGGCGAAAAGGGCCAGGGGAGCGAAAAGGGCCAGGGGAGCGAAAAGGGCCAGGGGAGCGAAAAGGGGATGGAAGATGGAGAGGGCGAGCAGGAAGGTGAGGGGACTGACAAGGGAAAGGGAAATGGTGAGGGGGGGGACTTGAACGCGCTGTTGCCAGTAGAGGAGCTGCTTATAGCGTGGCATGACATGGGCAAGCCGGTTACTGCTTGGTTGCTTTGTGTGGGCGCAGCAGCAGCAGAGAAAGAGCAGCTCTGTGCAGCAGACGCACTAGCAGCAGCAGCCGGGGCTGCTGGTGAACGTACTCCATCTGGTCCGGAGGCTGCTTCCGAACGCGCTGCTTCCGCTGATGCGCCTTCAAGCAGAGATACCCAGAATGCTGAGTCCCCTGGCGAGACTAGAGGGGGGGACGGTAGAGAGGAGGGTGGGGGAAAGACGCGGGCTCTGGGGATGGAGGCGGGGGGGCGGAAGCAGAGGTGGTGTTTGGTTTGTATGAGCGGCTGGCTGTGCTGTGCTGGGAAAGGGATGACGAGAGGGGCGAGGGGAGGGGTGAGGGGAGAGGGGAGGGGAGGGATGAGGGGAGAGGAGAGGGGAGGGATGAGGAGAGGGAGGAGGGGAGGGGCGAAGGGAGAGGGAGGAAAGAGATGGGAGGGGAGATGGGGGAGAGACGATGGGCGGGATGGGGGTAAGGGCGGTTTGGTGATGGGCGGTTCGGTAGGGAAAGGAGACATTGATGTCGGCAGAGAGACTCCAGAAGCAGGAGGAGCAGTAGGAGCAGGAGGAGCGGCAGGGGCAGGGGCAGGAGCAGACAAGGTCTCACAAAGGTGCAATGGCTTGTTGCTTCCCCTTGCTGCGTCGCACCCACACTCCCTACATCATCACCGTCATAACAGTCACCGCCATCTGCTGACATCAGCAGTCCACATGGACTTGCAGCGGTGGATCCTACTGGACGGCTCCAACCTTCTCTTCCTACGTGTCACCCTCCAGGCCCTGCGCCTGCTGCCCCTTGCCACGTCCGGCTACCCTCCCTTGCTGCATCTGCTGCTCTCTGCCGCTGATCCGCCTACCATTGCTTCTCTGCAGTCTGCACTTCTCTTGGGAGAGCTCTCTGTATTCAAGATCAGGCCCTCCTCTGTGCGGAGGAAGACTGAGATCTCTGGACTTGGGACGAGTAAGGAGCCGATGGAAGGAAACCAGCAGCAGAATCAACAGGATGAGCGGGGGTGGTGGCGGCAGCAGCAGCAGCAGCAGTTGTGGGTGTCGTTGGTTGGAGACAGTTGGTCGTGGGACGGACCGGAGCAGCAGTGGTTGTGGCAACTAGCAGCTGCTGAGGCTGCTGGTTGGGGGTTCCCTAGCAAAGGGCATGTGGGAGACGAAAAGGAGGGCCATTCGAAAAAAGAGGAGAAGCAGCAGGAGCAGGAACAGGAACAGGAGGAGGATGTGCAGAATCTTCCGCTACTTCTGCTACAAGCTAGTGCTGCTGCTGCTGCTGCTTCTGCCAGCAGCAACCCTTCTGCTGGTGACATCACTGCCCTGGGTGGTGGGAATGTTGATGACAGCAGCACTCCCAGTAACAAGCCTGCTGCCTCTGCTGCCAGGCACAGCACATGGGAAGGTCCAAGTTGTGAGGCACTCGCAGGGCTGGAGATGCTCCTGCTGCAAGCAAGCCCATCCCCCGCCCTCCTCTCCACACTCCTCTCCCTTCCTGCTGACCGCTTTGGCAGGCTGCCATGCACTGTGCTGAGGGCATGGGCGTTGAAGGACCCTGCTGGACTGTGCTCTCTTTTGAGAGAGCAAGGGCGGGTATGGCTAGCCCAGAATCAGCAGAACAGTGTTCTAGAAGGGGGGGGAACCGCCTCAGCAGGAAACCGCACATGGGGAAGCGCTAAGAGCAGGAGTGGAATCGCTTTGAGGTGTAACTTGCTTAGCCTGCTAACAGCTCTTGACAGAATAGTGCAGACTGACTGTAGGGGGGAAAGGAGGAAAGGGGTTTACATGGAGCTCTCAAAGTGCATCAAGGAGCTGCTGTAAGGTTGAATGTACAGTTGAGTTGTTAAGGAAATATAATAATGCATCTCATGAGCATGGCGTAATTTGTGAGCGACGAATATAGTAAGTTGCTGCTTGTTTTCCACACACTAATACATCTTATTTCTGCCAGGATTTTTCATTGCCAAGATACAGTCAACGCTATCAGCCGTTTCCAAAGTAGAGGGGGAAAATGAGTTTTGGTTTCCCCGCGAAATATACGCCCTCTCACCCAAGCGACGAACATCGATGGTCAGATCGACGGCTGCCCGACCTTCCCCATTGGGGTACGTGCCACGTCCGGCCCTCACCAACCTCTTCCAATTTCTCCGCGCCTCGATTTGCTCAAACGCGTCTCGTGATGTCGGCCCCCAATTTGCGACATTTATCCGCCCGAAAACACCCCGCAAATGCGACTTCTCCTCCGCTCTTCCGGTCTCGAAGCGGAAGCACGGTTTCCGAAAGAAATGGGCTCACGAATTTCTGCCTTGCCTCCGCACATGAAATTTCACCACACTAGCCACCACAAGCAAACCCGCCTTACTGGACCCACGCTTGTGCCTCCGCAAGTGTCGCAGCCGACGCTGGCCGCTGCCGTCGTTGTCGGTTGCCGGGGGTCGTGACGGTGCTGCAGAAAGCAACCTGGAACCTTGTCAAACCGCGCAGCGAGGCGAATGGTCAGCGCACGCCATTCCATAAGCGTGATGCTCTCTCACCTCGCATTGAATATTATACGAGCACTAGTGCGTAGGGGATGCCGCTGGCATACCCGAGGCATCGGCTCTAGTAGTAGCTAGACGAGGGGATCGCGCAGATTCCGAGTCATAAAACCACCAAGTGATCGCTCACGTAGCGTTTTTACGCTTCAGCTCGCACAGGTCGCAGTTTAGCACAACGCTCTCACTACGCTCTTCACACATAGTGTAGAACTAAACGTAGCCCATAGACGCTACACTCCTGTGATCGACTCTACTCTCATCAACGCATAATAGAACATCGTCAAGTACTCCCGAGTCCAGTTACATAATCGCGAAGTACGTAGCGACGTACCGCAGTTTGTTCGCCTGGTCGCACCTGCTCACCGTCGCAAAGTACGCATCGGCGCGGCTCCCATGGCTCGGCCGTTTCATCTGCTCCTCTGGAGCCTACCGCTGCTGCTTCTCGCGTCAATCCCAGCCGCACGATTAGAGGACACAGCAATCCGGCCGTTCGCGTCCGACGACGGTACGCCTCTTAGGAATCCAGCTGACCTAGAATCCCTCGATGCCCATACTCGGCCTCACTGTCGTGCTCGACCTTAGATCATTACCTTTCAAATCAAGGTGTTGGCCCTTCCTAGCCAATTCCTTCTCTTTCCTTCTCTTTCTTCATCTATCCCCATCAGACGCAGTCTGGCAGCACTACGGCGGCGAATTCGCCCTCCTGAGGCGGCAACTAAAGAAAACCACCACACAGGCGACCCCATCGCCGTCCCCCGCAGTCCCTAAGAAGAAGAAGAAAAACGCGACGGCAACAGCTAGCCCGTCAAAAGCCAAAAGCCCGCCCAAGGTCCAGGCAGGGTCGACGCAAAAGAGCCCGAATAAAAGCCCTAGCAAGTCTCCTAGTAAGAGCCCTAGCAAAAGCCCTAGCAAGACTACTACTAAGAGTCCTAGCAAAAGCCCCGCTAAGAGCCCGAGCAAGAGTCCCAGCAAGCCAAAGTCCCCGCCCAAGCCGGCTGAGACGAACGTGACTAAAAGTCCCAAGAGCCCCAAGAAGCCCAAGAGCCCTAAGAGCCCGTCGCCCTCCCCTGCCAAGAAACCCAAGAGCCCGAAGAAGCCCACGACGCCCCCTTCCCCGCCTCCCGCCCCTCCTACTAGTAAGTCTCTCATCCCTGTTATAACCTTCTACTCGGTCCCCGTTATAAGATGCATCTCAGCCATTTGAGACATGCACAGTGTCCTCTTGCACTCCGTGCTGTTTCTGCTTACCCAAGACTCATTGACCCACGCGTTATCCCCCCTTCTGTTTCCCAACTGGAATTTGCAATTTGCAGTCACGTGCGAGGTGCACAAGAAGCAGCAGCTAGTAATAATGGACCAAAGTGATGTCTGAGTCGACTCGACTTTTGAGGCGCCTCAAAAATCAAGACTCGAAAGACACCATGCCTCAGCGACCCACGCTTTATTCCCCTTTCTGTTTCCCAATCGTACTTTGCAGTCATGTGCGAGGTGCACAAGAAGCAGCAGCTGCTAATAATGGACGGAAACCTCTTCTTCACGAACAAACTGGACCAGTGCGAGTCATCTTGTATCGCGGACGCCAGCTGCCTCTACTACACCTTTTCAGGTCTGAGCTGCCAGCTGTTCACCGCTAACATGACCATCAAGCCCAGCGGCACGTGCTTCTCGAGGAAATGCCAGTGGGGCAAGTGCCGGGACCCCCCTAGCGATGACTACTCGAGCTAGGAGTGATAATGAGGGTTAGGAGAGTGTAGTGTGTGCTTGCTAGCCCAAAAATGATGTATACCGTGACCTAGAATAACGTGGAGCAGTGCGTGTGTGTGAGTCAGCTTGTATCAAGGACGCCAATTGCTCTGCTACCTGTACTACTACACCTTCGCTGGCCCGTTGGAACAACTGATATTTGCAAATGCTCATGCCAAAGAAACAGTAAAAGAACGTGTGTTCCGATTCGAATGGGCAAGGCCGCACATGCCCCCTCTCTCATGCTCATCCTTTTCCAAAGACATCACCAAAAACAAAGATGACACCTGCTAGAAAATTACACTGAATTGGGTGAGAAATGTGCTTTAGTGTGCATGAGTATACACCTAATCAATAGTACAAGAAATTATAGCACAAACTCAACTCGCATCCCTACACCTGGCTGATGGACAAAACAATCTGGCAATTGCCAAACGCTGGCGTTTTTCACCAATTGCCGCGCCGCGGAAACAAATGGCGGAGCTGAGCACTCCGTGCAGTCAAGAGATAAACCAGGAGCGCGTCCGAACCGCGTCTCGGTGGTTTGGATGTCAATTCAGCGACCTTGACGAAATTCAACCTTTCGCACGCACATTGGCCATTTGGCACAGGTCAAGACAGCGACATCGACGAAGTGAGTAACCCCTCAGAATGCGAACTCCTTGCTGAGCGAAATGTTCCGTACAATTCAAGTTCCTGTCCAACGTTGGACTAAAGACAAGGCTGGTATGGGCAATCAGTCAGGCCTGTTCGTCGGACAAGATAATTTACTAGCAGGCTTCAGGTATTCGTAGCTGCACGAGTCAAACCGAGCAACTCAGTCTCCGGCCATTTTCCGCTAATCTTTAGCCAGGAACACGAATCTTGTAAGTCTCGCAGCTCGCGATTATCGCATAGCTCTTACTCGCCTGCCAGCCTGATTCGATCCGACCGCTACTACCATTCACCTCGTACAGCTCGGTCGACGGCGTTGCTGCTGACTTGGCAAGTTAGGCCCAACCCGCTCACGTCGTACCGTCCGCAATTCTCCCCACAATCCTCAGCGAAGCGTTGCTTTTTTCTCCTTTCTTTTTGTCAACGCGGCGCTGACAAAGGCCTCCCGTATTTGCACTACTCTCGTCCAGTGCTCAGGAGTCGACGAGTAGCAACGTGCCCGCGTTTACAGCTCATGGCTTTTCTCATAAACCTATTACTTATGGCTTTTAGGCGCCTCAACACTCGTTCAGTGTCCTGGAGCCCAAGAGCAGTAGCATTTCCGCGTTTAGTACTGATCAAACCGATTCTCAATTACCTCCTGATTCTGCTCTTGATAGGTGCTTCAGCTGCACTCGCTGAAGAATCTTCGTTCATCGACGATGTCTTAACGTTTAGACACCCACTGCTTCGCCCCTCCAGGGAAGCAAACGCCCTGGATACTGGACTACCTGTACAGCCTGTAGGCAAGCAAACGCCTGAGGCCATTCCACATGGACCAGATTTCAGGTCACCTGGACGTAATAGTATAACGCGCTATCCCGCCACAGGAGATGATTCTGTGGGTGTTTCTAATGCGTCACATTCCGCGTATTCAGCATCGGCGGGCATTAACAGGCCGCCAGCGCCGACGCTCGAGCCGGCGTGGGAGCGGTTCGGAGTGTGCTCGAGTGGTAGTAAGGGGCGGTTCCGAGTGACGATCACTCCAAGACGAATCGGAACCACGTGGAAGGGATGGGGCACCTCGCTCGCATGGTGAGACACGGTTCAGATAAGCTGGTGTATATGTAATCCGATGGCGTATCCCGTGGAAGGGATGGGGCACCTCACTCGCATGGTGAGATGATTGCCGTCGGATGGAGAATCATGTGGATTGGATGGGGAACCTCTTTTTCATAGATCACGGTTGTAATGAGATGATGTGATTGTATGGAATGGTGTGATTGTATGGGCTGGTGATTAACTGGTAAGTTAATAGCAGGGGATGCTGTGACACGGCTCCAGATAACCCTGATTCCCACCCCCACTTATCCCCCCTCTTCCCCACCCCATCCCACCCCCTTCCACCCCTCCCAGCCCCTCCAGTATGGGCAGTTTCATAGGCGGGTTCCCCAAGGCAGCACTGGACCCTGTGCAGCCTCATTCCCCTCATATCCCATTCTACCCATTCCCCCTGCCCCGCCCTCCTTCCCCCTCCCCCAACAGGCTGGGCAGCTACATGGGCCGGTTCCTATTCCCCATATCTCCCCTTCAACAGTCCCCCTTACCCTCCATCCCCGTACCCACTCCCCCCACCCCCGTACCCCCTCTTCCCCCCCCTCCTCTTCCTCCCCCCCCCCCCCCCCCCCCCCCCCAGGCTGGGCAACTACATAGGCGGGTTCCCCAAGGCGGCGATGGACCCTCTGCTGGACCTCATGTTCCTCCCCTCGGGGCTCGGCCTCAATATAGTGCGCTTCAATATAGGTGCCGGCTCCCTCCCGCAGTACAGCCCTCAGCTACACACAGACGCCCTGCTTAGATGGCGAGGCATGCCAGGGTACTGGCCTTCACACACTGGGCAATTCAATTGGACGGCAGACTCAAGGCAGCAGGCAGTGCTGCTGGGAGCCAAGGCCCGAGGGGCGAATGTGTTCGAGGCGTTTTCTAACAGCCCCCCCTGGTGGATGACCGTTAGCAAAGACGTTGCGGGAGGGTCGGAGAAGTTTCAGACTAATTTGAAGAGTGGCTATGAGGGGAGGTTTGCGTGGTATTTGGTGAAAGTGGTGGAGAGGTTTAAAACGGATCCGGCGTTGGGGAATATCGAGTTTGATACACTGGAGCTGTTCAACGAGGCGTTGGAGGGTAACTGGCTGAAGGGGCAGGGGCAGGAGGGATGTAATTTCAACGTGACCGAGATGACCCGGATCATTCTCAAAGCCCAGCGGATTCTGCTTAAAAGAAAGCTCAAGACGAAGCTGGTGGGTGTAGACAGTTTCGCTGGTTTCACAGCTCTCTGGTTACCACTACTTCTTGGGAAAGACTACCTTCACCGGATAAACGTCCACGGTTACACATTGCCACTAGAAATGCCCAGGAATAGGAGTGCTTCTGCAGCTGAGAAAATCTACGCCGCTCGTTACACCAGGATGAAGGTTCTTGCGAAGGCGCTCGGGAAGAGCATTTGGGTGTCCGAATCTGGACCGTTGAACAAACTTGGGAGCAGCTACGATCTCTCGCTCTACATGATGCGGAACGTGATTGAATCGGTGAATATTCTGGAGGCGTCGGCATACGTCTACTGGCAAGTCTTCGACCCGAATGAAGCATGGTCGATGTTTGGGCTTAATTGGTCTTATCCGCCAGGGTACACAGGTCCAACTGACCCCCCCACGAAACTTAAGCGGTTCTGGATGTTTAAACAGTTTACAGATTTGGCGAGCCAAGGGAGTTTGCCTTTATGGGTGCCGCGCAAATGTCGGCATACTGTAGCAGCGTTCTACAGCAGGGGAAGGCGATCAGTAAGCGTGTTTATAGTGAATCAGCGGGTAAAGGATAGGAAGGTGATTGTGGGACTATCAAGGCTCAAGCTGAACGTGGGGGGGAACACGCAAGCTCTGATTAGAAGGACAACTTATGGAGAGGATAATGCGGAGAGAAGTGTAGATATTCAAGGCTTACCCGAGGTATTAGTTTTGGTTGAGGGCCAGAGTTTCCTTTCAGTCACATTCACTCATGTGCTATTGACGAGATGGTCATCTAAGAAAGTAGACTTCTGAGCTATTGTAGCAATGCTTGTACAGAAGTCTCTCTGCTTTTTTTTTCTTCATTAAATATTTGGCTACTCCACACGTGGTGTGATTTAGTGTTTGCGTTATGTATGAGATAGGTGGAAGACAGTTCTGATTATACTTGTAGCTTGAATTGGAGCTGGTTCAACGCATGATGTGAATGCAGCGAATCAGCGAGCAGCATTATCCACGACAGCGCAGCTCCACGCCAGATTTTCTAGGCGAGTAATCGAGTTACAGCTCATCACAGAAGGCTGTTGGATTCAGGGAAAGCACACCTCTATGACCCGTTAGAATCACAAAATTGCCGGTCTCTCCAATAATATAAGCACTTCATGTCAGACTACTCACAAATCAGATATGGGTAAATTCCAGCGTTTTGTCAATTGCCTGCTGATCCATGCCCATCTCCCCACGGGTATTCCCAAGGCCTCAGAGAGATCCGTTTGTCCATTGACGGACACTATATTGACTATGCCTGGTTCCAGAATTCTGGTCCTGATTCTGGTCGCTTAGTTGTCAGTGCTGACGAATCCGATTCGTGCGGGATTTATTTGTTCAGCGGTCGGGAAACTTATCGTGTCAGTCTGCATCAGCAGGCATCAGCCACGAGGCGATTAAATCACATTCGTTAAGAAGTGTTCGAGAGTTCTTAGCCGTCGAATCACAGCCGCCTGACGGTTAACTCGCCGATAAATACCCATTCTTCTTTTCGCGCTTCACCCAGCATCAGGCATCGCAATGCAGTCACTAACGGTAGCACCGCACCCCACCACACTCCACCGTACCACCCGTCTCCTACGCGCCGTCCCCCACACTCCCCTCCCCATCTGCCCTACCTCCCCATGGACCCCCCCTTCTCCTCTCTGTTCGCCTCTCAAGCTGCCACGTGTCCCATCCCGGAGCCTCCGATCCGCATCCCCTGGCGCATCAAATCTGACCGTTAGAGCGTCCGGTGACGGCGACGGCAGCGGAAGCGGCGCGTCGTCGTCTACCCGCCGGTCCGCGGCGCGGCGGTCGCGGCAGTACTCCTCCTCCGTGCAAGAGGCTTCAGGAGGGCGACGCGGCGGGCGAAGCGGAGGTGCTTCTAACGGGGGGGTGGAAGTCGACACGGAGTTAATAGGCATCGGAGCGATGCTATTGGCTGTCGGCGCGGGAATCTGGGGAGTTTCGCGGTTCTTAGCGCGCGGCGGGATCGGCAGTAGCGCGGATAGTGACGAGGAAGGGGAGGGTAGCGGCGGGCGGCGGGATTCGTCGTCTAGCGCGGGTGACGACAAGGAGAAGCAGAAGAAGTGGCGGCAGCAGTCGATGGCGAAAGTGAGGGAGCTGGCGCAGCAGCTGCGGTCATTCAAGACCGTCGATCTTAGCGGTACGTTTCAGGACCGTTGATCTCAGCTTTTCGTTTGCGGGTCATTGAACCTATTGCTGCTGTGTTCTGTTGATGTCTCAGCAGTCCACCGAACCTGCACGTTCGCGCGTAACGTTGGCGGAATATGATTCTTTTGCTTTGTTTTCTTATCACGCCTTGTGACTCCCCCCCCTCCCCCCCCCCCAACCCCCCCCCACCCTCTCCCACCCCTTCCCCCGTCTCCCATTCCTGCAGGCAAGAGTCTCGGCGACGAGGGTTTCAAGTATTTGGCGGAATCTCTCGCATTCAACAATGTGAGCTTCCAACATCCCCGTTATAGTATGCTCGCATAGCCCCATATTCTGTAGGAAACCTAAACTGAATATCACCCTTCAACCTTTACTCTGCAACTTCCACAAGGGGAAAAGAGGAGACTGTAGAGAAACATTTTCACAATTTATAGTGCCCTCTCAAGTGGTCCGTGTATTTATGCAACCTGAGAGACCAGAAAGTGGTCCGTGGTCTCTAAATTTTCCCTCTGACAAGTGTCCTCCTCGTCCGGGGTCGGACCAGAGAGGTTGAAGGAGGAGCAGAGCAGCGCATTGAAGCGGCGTGGCGGGCGTGAATGCGTCTATACGTTCGCGCATTCATGGACCTTTGCAGCGGCATGACGGGGTGCAGTGCAGACGCCTTTACACCCTTGCCCTCCTCATCTACCACCCCTCCACAGTCCACCCCATCCCCTTTCCCGCCGCTGAACCCCCAAACAGAGCGTGGAGAGGGTCGAATTCTCCAACAACCGTGTCGTCTTCGAAGGTGCAAAGGCTCTCACTGATGCCCTAGCTATCGACGTGTACCTGGAAACCCTAAACCTCTCTGGCAACATGATTGGGGACGAGGGCGCCAAGGTGCTGGCGGGCATTATGGAGCAGAACCGCGGGGTGCAGATGCTGCCTTGCTCTTCTTCCCCTCCGCTCCCTGCCCCATCCCCCCATCTCTCAGAGGGGGAAAGGCCAACAACGGTATCGGCCCATGAGGAGTCTATTTTTGAGGCGCCTCAAAAATAGATTCTTCCCCTCCGCTCCCTGCCCCATCCCCCCATCTCTCAGAGCGTAAAAGACCAACAACGGTATCGGCCCCGAGGGGGTGAAAGCCCGCACTGAGGCCGTAGTTCCCCCCTTCCCCTCCATCTTCCCATCGCTACCCCCCCCCCACCTGCCCCCTTCCCCATGCCCCCTGCCCCCTGCCCCCTGCCCCCTGCCCCCTGCCCCTGCCCCCTGCCCCCTGCCCCCTGCCCTCTGCCCCCGCCCCCCGCCCCCTGCCCCTTGCCCCCTGCCCCCTGTCCCCTGCCCCCTGCCCCCTGCCCCCGCCCCCTGCCCCCTGCCCCCTGCCCCTCACAGAGCGTGGAGAGTGTTGACTTCTCCAACAACGGAATCGGCCCAGAGGGGGTGAAGGCCCTCACTGAAGCCCTAGCAACCAACGCGTACCTGAAGACTCTCAACCTGTCCGGCAACATGATTGGCGACGAGGGCGCCAAGGTGTTGGCGGGCATCATGGAGCAGAACCGCGGGGTGCAGACGCTGCAGCTGAGCAGCAACGGCATCGGAGACGAGGGCATGCGCGCGCTGGCTGACATGCTCAAGAAGAACGAGGCGATGGTGTGCCTCGAGATGAACAACAACGGCATTGAGTACGAGGTAGGTACGGGGGGTGGTTGGAGGGGGGGGGGATGTAGGCTGCGTCTAGAGTGCATAGAGTCTCAGGTGCGGCCTGGTTCTGGGAACACGGTAGCTGGCTGACATGCTGAGGAGAACGAGGCGGTGGTGTGCCTCGAGATGAACAACAGCAGGATCGAGTACAAGGTACGGATGAGACTGCTAGGGGTGGCAGACTGGGTACAGGCGTTCGAGGGGGATGGGTGACAGGAGGCGCTGGCTGACATGCTGAGGAGAACGAGGCGGTAGTTTGCCTCGAGATGAACAACAACGGCATCGAGTACGAGGTAGGCAGGGGGGAATGCAGTTTCAGGTGTGGTCCAGCGTAGTATTTTGAGGTAGGAGACGAGTACGAGACGAGGTACTTGAATACACACCTGAATGCTGAAACCTCAAAATACACCTGAATGCTGAAACCTCAAAATACACCTGAATGCTGAAACCTCAAAATACACCTGAATGCTGAAACCTCAAAATACACCTGAATGCTGAAACCTCAAAATACACCTGAATGCTGAAACCTCAAAATACACCTGAATGCAGTTTCAGGTATGGACCAGCGTAGCCTTCAAAGGGTGCAGACGCTGCGGCCGAGAAGCAACGGGATGAGTGACGAGGGCATGCGCCTCGAGGGGGTGCATGCAGACGAAGCAGAACGAGTAGACATGCTGAAGAAGAACGAGTAGACATGCTGAAGAAGAACGAGTAGACATGCTGAAGAAGAACGAGGCGATGGTGTGCCTCGAGATGAACAACAACGGCATCCAGTACGAGGTAGGGGGGTGCTGGTAGACACTCCCCCAAACCAACTCTCTCCCAACCAGCTCACCCTCCCTTTCCCCCTTTCTCATTCCCCCCCTCCCCTTCCCCCCCCCGTCAACCCCGGCCCCCCTTTTTCTCCCCTTCAAATCCAGGGCTGTGCTGCTCTTGCTGATGCTCTTGCCAGCACCAAGAGCCTTCGATCGCTGCACCTCAAGTGAGTCTGTGTGTGTGTGGGGCATGGGAGTCCTTGTGTGTGTGTGTGTGTGTGTGTGTGTGTGTGAGAGAGAGAGAGAGAGAGAGAGAGAGAGAGAGAGAGAGAGAGAGAGTGTGAGTGTGTGTGAGTGATTAGCACCAAAGCCTGTTCTCTCTTCTCCCGTTCTCCCTTCTCCCGTCTCTCTTCTCCCTTCTCGCTTTCCCCTTCTCGCCAATTCCCAGTGGCAACTATGCAGGGACGCTTGGCGCTTCTGCCCTGGCCAAGGGCCTTCAGGAAAACAAGTCTCTCAGGGTGAGTCTATATTGGGTAGTTCCTGATACACGGTCTCTCACCGTGTATACATGGTGTGTTTTGAGTCGACTACCGCTGCCTAGCAAGGCTTTTTCCTCCATGGTTAACCCTGAAAAGTATGGGTCCATCGGTCTCGCCTGATACACGGTCTCTCACCGTGTATACATGGTGTGCCACCAGTTCGATCAAGCGAGTCTGTGGGGACTTGATTAACAGGACTGGAGATTGTCTTCTAGGCGCCTCTGGCTTGGCCAAGGGGCTTCAGTAACACAAGGCACTCAGGGTGGGAGTATTGGGTCTTCTAGGAAAATTCACGCCGTCCATCCGCCTGCCGCTCCACTCCCCTCCGCCCCCCTTCTCTCATTCCACTCCCCTTCTCCTCCCTCCCTCTGTCCGTCCTTCCGTCCCTCCCTCCCTCCCTCCCTTCCCTCCCCCCCCAGGAGCTGCATTTCAACGGCAATGGGGTGGGGGACGAGGGAGCGCGAGTGCTGGCGTCAGGCCTGCTGGCCCACAAGGGCAAGCTGGTCACCATCGACCTCAGCAACAACAGCATGGGGTCAAAGGGCGCGGCCCACATTGCTGAAGTGATCAAGAAGAGCCGCAGTCTGCAGTGGCTCAACCTCTACATGAACGACTTTGGGGACAAGGTCTGTAGTGTGGGGGATTAAGCACCTCAAGCTTTGGAGACTTCGTTTTTGGTTTGTGGGGTCATTTTTCCAGGCTGATGCGCCCATAAAAATCCAAATTCTCCCTTCTACCACCCCTGTTGTTCTGCTGCAAGGAGCGACGAGACTAGCAGATGCTCCCAAGCGTTTTTTTTTTTTTTTTTTTTTTTTTTTTTTTTTTTCCCTCCAGTGTCTTGCGAAGCAAATCCATTGCCATTGAAGGATTTTGTGGGTTTTAAGTGAGACAGCCTCAGAGCACGAACGAACTTATTTCACTGATGGCACCCATCCTCTTTGCCCCGTGCACTGTGTTCCATTCCATGCCTGCAGGGCGCTGAGAGAATAGCCGATGCCCTCAAGCGAAACAAGTCCATTGCCACTATTGACCTGGTGAGTGCGTGGCCTGAGAAAGTTTAAGCCTGGGTTGGCCTGGGTTGGCCTGGGTTGGGCTGGGTCGGCTTGGGTTGGCCTGGGTTGGCCTGGGTCGGCTTGGGTTGGCCTGGGTCGGCTTGGGCTGGCCTGGGTCGGCTTGGGTTGGCCTGGGTCGGCTTGGGTTGGCCTGGGTCGGCTTGGGCTGGCCTGGGTCGGCTTGGGTTGGCCTGGGTCGGCTTGGGTTGGCCTGGGTCGGCTTGGGTTGGCCTGGGTTGGCTTGGGTTGGCCTGGGTCGGCTTGGGTTGGCCTTGGTCGGCTTGGGTTGGCTTGAAAGAGAAGGAGACCTTTGAGGCCTGGGGTTAGGGGGGCGGGGTATGCTTTTGAGGCGGATTAAAGAGAGAACGAGGTGAGTTGGTGAGATGGTCGGAAGTTTGGGGTTTGGGGGGGCGGACTTCTGAAGACGCCTCGACATCTGTTTGTCTGTCTTCTTTACAATCCTCCCCTCCACATCCACTTTCTCCCCTGCTTTGCGGAGGGCATTTCAGCCAACTTCACACATCTCATATCCCTTTCCTCGTTCCGCGTTCCCTACCTGCATCCCGCCCGCCCCCTCCCCCCCCACCCCCCTCTTTTCCCTTCAGGGCGGCAACAACATCCATGCAGAGGGCATTGCTGCCATCTGCGATGCGCTCAAAGAGAACTCCACCATCACCACTGTGAGTAGGGCTCCTGAGTCGATTCGACTCACAAGGTGACTCCTGAGTCGACTCACAAGGTGACTCCTGAGTCGACTCGACTCACAAGTCATCTGCGATGCGCTCATAGAGAACTCCACCATCACCACTGTGAGTAGGCCTCTTGAATCTGCCTCCCTCTCTCCCTCTCCCTCTCCCTCTCCCTCCCCTTCTCCCTCTCCCCCCCCCTCTCCCTCTCCCTCCCCCTCTCCCTCTCCCTCTCCCTCTCCCACTCTCTCCCCCTCTCCCTCTCCCTCCCCTCTCCCTCTCCCTCCCCTCTTCCTCTCCCCCCCCCTCTCCCTCTCTCTCCCCCTCCCCCTCTCCCTCCCCCTCTCCCTCTCCCTCCCCCTCTCCCTCTCCCTCCGCCTCTCCCTCTCCCTCCCCCCTCCCTCTCTCTCCCCCTCTCCCTCTCCCTCCCCTCTCCCTCTCCCTCCCCCTCTCCCTCTCCCTCCCCCTCTCCCTCTCCCTCTCCCTCCCCCTCTCCCTCTCCCTCCCCCTCTCCCTCCCCCTCTTCCTCTCTCTCCCCCTCTCCCTCTCCCTCCCCCTCTCCCTCTCCCTCCCCCTCTCCCTCTCCCTCCCCCTCTCCCTCTCCCTCTCCCTCCCCCTCTCCCTCTCCCTCTCCCTCCCCCTCTTCCTCTCTCTCCCCCTCTCCCTCTCCCTCTCCCTCCCCCTCCGTTTGTCCCTCTCCCTCTCTCTCTCCCTCTCCTTCTTCCTCCCCCAGCCCCTCTCCCTCTCTCTCCCTCTCCCCCTCCTCCTCCCTCTCCCCCTCCCCCTGCCCCTGCCCCTCCCCCAGCCCCTCCCCCTCCCCCTCACTGCTTTGGGCCGCATGATGCTCCTCTCATCACCCCCCTGATGGAAAGGTCGCCCCTCTCATCACTCCCCCCCTCCTGGTCTTTCTCACGCCCCAAATGTGCCACAGCTGGAGCTGGGGTACAACCCGATTGGGCCAGACGGCGCCAAGGCTCTGGCGGATACAGTCAAGTTCCACGGCAACGTTGAAACTCTGAGGCTGGGATGGTGCAAGGTGAGGGGTGGTGCACGGTGAGGGGTGGTGCACGGTGAGGGGTGGTGCACGGTGAGGGGTGGTGCACGGTGAGGGGTGGTGCAAGGTGAGGGGTGGTGCACGGTGAGGGGTGGTGCAAGGTGAGGAGAGGGGAAACGGGGGGGGTGTGAGTGAGGGGCTGTGACTGTGCACAATGTACGGTGAAGTCACGGGCAGACATAATCAATTTCTTCCATGGCAATGTTGAGTTGCTGAGCCTGAGCCGCTGGGGTAGTGCAAGGAGGGTGGGGAAAGGGTGTTTGGCTTCTGGGGTGGGTGAGTGGCTGACTGAGCGCATAGTGAGGTTGAGTTTGGCAGTGCCTTTTGGGTCGACTCAAAAGTCACCTCACATAGTGAGGTTAAGGTTGACTGTGCAGCAGGGTGCTGCCACTGTCACGGCACACGGTTCTTTAGGCACATTAAGAGTTGAGCTTTGAGGCGCCTCACAACTTGGTTCTTTAGGCACATTAAGATTTGAGTTTTGAGGCGCCTCAAAACTTGGTTCTTTAGGCACATTAAGAGTTGTTGCTGCTGTTAAGGCACACCTTAAGGTGAGACGGCTGGGTTCATAACTCTCGCATAACAGTCCATGGCAATGTCATCAAAATACCCACGACAATGTGGACCCGCTGTAGGAAATTTATTTTTAAGGCGCCTAAAAAATAAACTCCTCACGGCAATGTGGACGCGTTGTAGGTGATTTTTGAATTGACTCAGAAATCACTTGACGCGCTGACTGTCAGCCCTCTCGACTCAAAAGTGACTTTTCAGTCGACTCAAAAGTCACCTCTGACTGTCAGCCCTCTCAAATCTCTTGGCACATACCACCCCTCTCATGCAACACCACGCCCCCCCTTCCCTCCCCCCTTCCCTCCCCCCTTCCCTCCCCACTTCCACACTCCCCCCCTCCCACCTGCCCACCCATGGCTCTTACTGCAACCAGATTGGAGTGAAGGGAGCAAGTACATGGCCGACGCACTCACCCGGTTGTCCCCCCCTCCCCCTTCCTCGTTCCCCCTTCTTCCCCCCTTGCCTCAACCCCCCGCAGATCGGAGTGAAGGGAGCAGAGTACATGGCAGACGCACTCAAGTACAACAACACCATCAACACGCTCGATCTCAGGGCCAACGCCTTGGGGGATGAGGTGAGCTGCCTTTCACCTCAATAGTACAGAAAGGCACACTGGTGCGTTTGAGTAGATGCATTCAAGTCAAGCTTGAGGGTACACCAGATGTAAGCAGATGTACTACAACAGCACCATCAACATGCGTGACCTGAGAGCCAACGCACTGGGGGATGAGGTGAGCTGACTTTCAGGCAAGGAAAGCAAGTATAGTAAGGCAAGCTGGTGCATGTGAGCAGACGCGCTCAAATACAACAGCACCATCAACCCTCTTGATCTGAGGGCCAACGCCCTGGGGGATGAGGTGAGAAATCTACCCCGAGCCACTCTTGTGCCTTGTGGTTCTGACTTTACGTCCGTTTTGGCTCTGGGTGAAGGTATTAGAGCTGTTCGTTCACCATTTTGGCTTTAAGTCTGCCTGTGTGTGCTGAACGAACAGCTCTCCTCCCTGGATGTGGGCTTTAACGAGATCAGGGATAAGGGAACGTGTGCACTCACTCTTTCTCTCCTCCTCATCCTCCCCTCACCCCACCTCCTCCCCCCGCTTCTCTCTCAATGTAACAGGGAGCGGCCATCCTGGCTCTCAGCCTGGGGGTTGTCAACGAGCAGCTCTCCTCCCTGGACCTGGGCGTTAACGAGATCAGGGACAAGGGCGCGTATGCCCTGGCAGAGGCCCTCAAAGCGATCTCTCTGTGTATTCGTCTATCCCCTCCCTACAGGGGGCGGCCATCCTGGCTCTCAGCCTGAGGGTTGTCAACGAGCAGCTCTCCTCCCTAGACCTGGGCTTTAACGAGATCAGAGACAAGGGCGCGTATGCCCTGGCAGAGGCCCTCAAGGCGAATGGGGAGGCGGCAGTGGAGACCCTCAACCTCTCCAGCAACTACATTACCAAATATGGCCAGGTAGAGTTGGGGGGCATTGGGGGGGGCTTTAGGTGACATGGAGTGCGAGAACTGCGACGTTAGTAAGGGCAGATGGGGAGGCGGCGATGGAAACTCTAAACCTCTCCAGCAGCTACATCACCAAATACGGACAGGTAGAGTTGAAAGGAGGTGTGAGTTGGCCGTGTTACATGCATTTTGGTTCCTTGTAATGTAACGCAAGGGAAAGCTCCTCTAGTAAGGGCGAATGGGGCCTCAACCTCTCCAGTAACTACACCAAATACGGACAGGTTTTTTTGTTGTTATATATATATATATATAAACCCTAATATATATATTCGGATATTCAAACAGGCATCCACATGTCTCCCCATTTGACTGACTGTCCTCTTGCTTTTCCCGTTGAGGTATTTGTTCTTTTCGTTTCCTGCTGCAAGTGTCCCAAGTCATCCAGCTCCCTCTTTCCGCCACCTCAATTCACTGCTGTGGTTGTGGCCAGGTCGCGTTGAGTGAGGCCAAGGATCTAGTGAATGAGATGAATGATTCTGGTTATTTATTCCCCTCATTGCCCTCCACTCCCATTCCCCTCTGTTTGTTTGTCACTGGGTGAACTCATTGCCTTGCAGGTTGCTTTGAGCGAGGCCAAGGACCTGGTGAGTGAGATGAACGACGGCAAGGAGGTCAACATCTACTGGTGAGACAAGTGCTCAAGAGCAGCTGATCGATATAGCCAGGATCAGTGGAATCAGCTACAAATGCTGGTGATAAAAGTGAGGCCAACATCTACTGGTGATACAAGTGTTCAAGGGGAATCAGCAGAATGCTGTGATACAAGGGAGGCCGATATGTACTGGCGAGGCAACAGCAGTCTTCAAGGGCAGCATAGCAACATAGGCGGCAGGGTGTGTACCGTACTGGTGACCGCTCTGCTCAAGGGCAGCATAGGACTCTGTTCAGGGGCAGCATAGGACTCTGTTGAGGGGCAGCATAGTGACAATAGGGGTTAAGCAGGGTGCAGCACAGCAGTGACACTGCTGTGATGTGCAAAGCAAAGCCTGAGACACAACAATGGTGGTGATGCTGCAGTAAGGTGTACCTAGCAGCAGTGTTGGATTGGCCAGCATGGAGAATAGTGACAGCTTCAGTGAGGGCAGTGTCAAACATATATTGATATGTTAGATTGGTGCAGTCCTATAGAGAGTACAACCCCTTGGACAAAACTACCTTGTACCTCTCATTCTATTCAATCTGTTACTCTGAGATGGTATCACGCTAGTGGGTTAGGATCCCGCCAACCCGCACTTCCGCCCTAGTCCTAGCCTTAGCCCACGCCGCCAGTCGCCAGTCGCCTGTTACTAGCTGACCGTCGTAGCCGCCAGCTGCTCGTCGCCCGCTGCCCCCAGTCGCCCGTCGCCCGTAGCCCGCTGGCCCCCGTCGCTCGTAGCCCGCTGGCCGCCCGTCGCCCGTAGCCCGCTGGCCGCCCGTCGCCCGTAGCCCGCTGACCGGCCGTCGCCCGTAGCCCGCTGACCGGCCGTCGCCCGTAGCCCGCTGGCCACCAGCCGCTCGTCGCCCGCTGGCCCCCGTCGCATGTAGCTGCTGGCCGCCTATCGCCGCCAGCCCGACCGTCGCCGCTGGCCACCCGTCGCCGCTGAACGTTTGTCGCCGCCAGCCGCCCGTCACCGCTGGCTGCCCGCTGCCGCCAGCCGCCCGTAGCCGCTGGCCGCCTGTCGCCGCCTGTCACCGCCAGCCGCCCGCTGTCACCAGCCGCCCGTCCCCGCAGGCTGCCCGCTGCCGCCAGCCGCTGCCCGTCGCCGCTGGCCGCCCGCAGCCACCAGCCGCCCTGCTCAAGGGCAGCATAGGACTCTGTTCAGGGGTAGCATAGTGACAATAGGGGTTAAGCAGGGTGCAGCACAGCAGTGACACCAGGGAGGGAGGCCAGCAAAATGCTCAGTGATATGCAGAGCCTGAGACAGAACAATGGTGATGCTGCAGTAAGGTATACCTAGCAGTAGTGTTGGATTGGCCAGCATGGAGAATAGTGACAGCTACAGTGAGGGCAGGTCTGATGCGTTTTGTTGGAAATGCCAACATTGCACAGCTTTTAGTTCGGCTGCTTGGCGCAAGCCATAGGTACTGTTCGACTGATTTGGACCACTTTCTACTTACACATGTGGTTGGATTAGAGAGTTGAAGTTTTGGGGATTGATTGGGGTGCTTTCAGGTAAGAAAGCATAAGTTGCAATCACAACAGTGTAACATTATTTATTATATCAAAACGGTCATCTGGTCCTCTGTACATGAGTAAACGTGACTGAAACGGTCTGGCCCTCAACCAGCACCGAAACCTTGGGCTCACCCTGAATCTCTACAGTACTCTCTGCATTATCCTCTCCATAGGTTGTCCTAATCAGAGCCTGAGTTGTTCCCCCCACATTAAAACCTGAGTCTAGAATGGTAAAGAACCATGAAGCCGCTACGAGAAACTCCCCTACTACCGGCGCTTCCCACACCGCAGCGCTCCTGTCCCTCCTCCTCCTCCCTTACTTGTCCCTGCTCCGCTTGCCGCTCCCCTCCCACCCCGCCCAGTCTGGTGTCTCCCACACTACTCATTTCCCCTCGATTGCGCCTGTGGGGGAGTCGGCTGACTTTGGGGGCCCAGCTGCTGGGGGCGCGCCTGCTGTCCCTGCGGCACCTCACCCAGCCTCGGTACCCCAGGCACCTCAGCCGCCTCCTCCCTTGCCTCAGCAGCAGCAGCCGTCGCCGCAGCAGACTCAGCGGCAGCAGCAG